AGCTTGTTCTATTCACCTCGATCTTGATTGGTTGCTGTTGTTGACCTTAAACCTGGAGTTGTTTGCATCTTTATTTTGATTGTATCCCCTTCTTGATATGTTTCTGGATCCTATGTCGCCTATGATTTTCCCGATTAGTTGATAAATTGGGTCAATGTCGATGTGTTTGTTGATTGCTGATTGACCTGAGTGCCAAGCTTCTAAAAATTCTCCGGTGTTCTTTATCCTCCCCCTACCCAGTATTTCCACATTGTTCCAATCAAATGTGTGTCCAGTAGTGTCAGTATTTCGACGGTTCGAAATTGTGAATGTCAAAGTTACAGTTAAACGTATTATATTTCTTAGCTCCTCAAAACTTAGGAATAACATTGCACAACACCAAAAATCAAGGTCAGATTTGCAAATTTATTCAATGAACAAAAAGAAGAAAGTATTTAAATTCAAATTATTTGCACTATAGAAGCAATAATTATTCACTAGTATACTTGCTGCAATGAGTACAATATTATTTTAGTGTGCCAAGTTAATGTTCAGAGAACTTCATATTCACAATGCGGGATTAATGCAACTCTATTTTTCGCTGGCGATAGTACATTTAACAACAACTGTGTAGCGTAAAAGATGTTAGTTACAACATTCAAAAAAATAAAACCATCATATTAAGTTATCGTAGTCTCATGTGACTTGATGAATACTGTGTTCAACGTGCGTATATGTGAATAAATTCATGGAACGACCACAGGACTTAGTGATGTCTATTTGTCAGATGTGATTGAACTTGATCGCATGTTTCCACCTAATAGGAGAGACAATCACCGTTTTACACGAAATTACTTTTTATAAGTATGATGAGGAGAGGAAGTTTTATTGCGCGTACGATTGCTTGAAATCCATAGACATACAACTTGCACCTACCTAAACATGCAAAGGAATAATAAAGGACATTTCCAATCTTCGACAAACAAGAGATAAATTATATTTTATGTCGATAAATTTGAAAAATAAGAAATCATCTACTGACACTCACAATCAACAAAGAGTATTGAAAATGTATTTTTTCTGAACTGGATTGCAAGCGATTTAACAAACTCTATGAAAATAAATAATTTACCTCAGCTTTCACTATTTTAGTTTTGCGATGTTATGCTTATGACAGTAGAGTTCATTCCAGTCATTAAAATCGCATAACAATAGTTTCTTCTTTTTTGTTTTAAGGCCAAGCTTTTACCTATTATAATGACAAAAAACAGTGACGCAAACGTACCGTTATTGATCGTGACACTAAAGGTGGAATAAATTGTGCAAAACTTATATTCTTCATGTGCTACCATAAGATATTACGTGAATATTATGTATACGTTTTCAGAGATAATAAACTTCAGCAACAGATCCGATTGCAGTTTGAATCACATGATTTTATGAATATATAGAAACTCGCACTAGCTTATTTAACGGATCCATAACATTCAATGCACACAATCACTGACATTTATAAATGAAAATTAGTAGGGACATTCTCATTCAAACAAGTAAACATGTCAAGTAAGAAAACGTCGGAAAATTGAAAATAATCATCTTTAGGTTGTCGCTTTTTTAAGGAATGATTATATTGATTTTAGTCGTCCATTCCTGATAATAGTGAATGTAAACTGCTAATTTATGTTTGGTGGTAAAGTTGTGAAAGTTGAAATGTGAATTTATGTTTTTATTCTGATTATAGCAGTGACACACATCCAAAAACTTGAGGAAGACAACTATCCCAACATTCGAAATTTCTATTTTTAAGGTTTTAAATCATTTTATTATGAGAATATTAAGAAAATGTATTTTACAGTCACAAGGGTTTCATCATACCACAAATTGTGAAGGCATTTTCCACTTTTTACTGCCGCAGAAGAAACACGTAGATAAATCATCAAATAACGCAAAATCTGCCTCGCTGTTCTGTTTGGAGTCAGCACGCATAAAGCGTAACTGTCAGGCAACTGTAAACTACTAAATTTCATTTAACTATTTTCGGGTGTCGACTAACGAATAACACATAATGGCTTTGGGTGAACAAAGAAATGTTGCAATCTGCCTAATTTTGAACTTTTGTTTGACTTCATTGTTCATCAGAAATGTAGACCACAATCCTACTAGTAATAGTATATATAATGGCAATAAACCAATGAAGGTTATTCCTGAATGCTCTAGTGATACATATGTTGGACTGAGTTGAGTCTCTTTGCGGTTCCGAATCTTGTGATCATATGTGTCCTTATTCACACCCCTATTTTTATATCTGACGCTCGATTATTGTCTATTTATCGATGTTATTTAAAAGTAAAATCACGAGAAAAGCAATCATTTGGTTTTAATGTTATACAGCACATCATCTTTCAAACAAATTCTCATCAGTCTCTAAAGTGGTTATTGCGAAACATCTGACTCGCCTCCGAGAAAGAATATTTTATCGCATTTAGTTCAAACTAGATGTCGCAGTGAGACAGGTGATTCACATATTAAATTTGATTTATCTTAGGTTTTTACTGTACATGAATATTTGATTGGTTGACATCGTTTAAGCGTGAGCAGTGACCGCAGATGTTGGGCAAAACGACATACTCTCATATGATACGCACATCGTTTTGACAATGTATCTGGCAAACGTGGAGGCACTAACATGCGCTGAACCAACAAGCATTCTCAAGTATTCTTATTCTGAATCTGCTTTCACATTTCAACAGGAGCGTTGTTCACCATCACATGTCTTTCGTTTGTTCTCAGCATGCAGTCTTCTGATGAGTTCGAGGATCCAGATACACTTGGAAATGGTTGATAGATGTTGAGGAGTAAACATGATAAAATCACATGGTAATCGCAAATGATCGTGCCGTGAATAATCTAGTTACCTAGAATACTGAACTAGTACAATCTCTGTATCGTCTGTTACAAGATGAAGCCAGGATCCCATTAGCGACAGCCAGAGAAAACTGCTTAGAGATTTAAGTCACCTGTTCTGACGTGAGGCTAACTGAGATTGTTTTATCTGGTGGTGAAATGATATATGCTTACCATATCAGACTTACAACATTGAGTAGTCAATGAATGCTGTTACTATTCTTTCACAATAGATCATTTACAATGGAGGTCCTGGTGAAATTCAGACAAAATCAGCCACAGTAAGGTTTGCAGTGAGGTGAAATGTTATTGAAAAACAATGACCATAAATATAAATTTATTAAATTTTTTTTATAAACAACAATGGCTTGATCATCGTCCATTATTCTTCCATTTGTAATCGTATTAGAAGGAATAATTGACGCGGAATTGTGAAAAGATGAAAAATGTCATGAAGTCGAACGAAGTTGTCAAAGTCATGTACAATTGATAGTAAGTTTCCGATTTGTAGCACTTCATCAAGTAATATGTTGTAAGTATGATCACCTATAATTCTTAAAAAGGTTATATAAATTTTAAGATTATGAAGTTAAAACATTTGATGAATCAGATATTTTCAGACACTCAATCAATAAGACACGTTTCATCGGCATAGATTTTGTTGACGACACAAATTAACAAAATCTCAAATTCATAATATAAGTTAACTCATATTCAAACTCGCAGATTATAATATCGAGAGAATTATCATTTCATATTCGTATCTATCATGAGCAATTCTATTAAAACCGATGCATAAACACTACCAATGTTTCAAATATATAGTTTTAGTCTGAGATGGAAAATCTGACAATGCCCAATAAGCAGAGATAGATAATAACTTGGAAATTATATTGTTCTGATAATTCAATGATTTAGTTTACTAATTCCCATTGGAATTCCTTATGATGGTAATTACTTTGTCAGTGGCGTCAAATTGTCGTTGGTTTCTCCATGACGTTCTACGGTCGACGCTATCAAAAGCGTTCACTTTGTCCATCAGTTTGATGTTGAGTGGTTAATTTCAGTAAACTGATGATTTTGCGATGATCTGTTTAATACATGATAGAGACCTAAGGAATCTAGCCCAGTGTTCCTTCGGTAACAACTGTCGATCAATACTTGTATCTTGTGCTTGACTGCTTCAACGTTTCATTCACATATATGTTTTAATTGTTATCAGTGATAAATGTCATTTTGTTGTTTGTCCAAGATTCTTTTGAGTTGCAGTCGTTCTTCACTGCTTTTTCATCAGGAAACAGATGCATCAGATTAACGTGGATGCCTAATATGGTGAAACTTGTCATACGGAATTATTATGATGGTAAAAAGTGTTTACGTTCAGTCTGCTCAGATTCATAAACCCGAAATACGTTGATGCAGAACGTCTAGATGTTTCATCTTTAATTTATTTATAAACATCTCCTTCACTGAACTTATTCTTTTAATCAATAGCTTGAATGAATAAAAAGTAAACGTAAATACCGTCTTCATCATGAAAACGAAATTAATCGCATTCGGAGTAGGTACACAACATTGTCAACGTAGTCGACGGATGCATTTATTATGTGGATGACAAACTTTTAGTGAGATTTTATTCAAATATTTACGAGATTGTTTTGAAATGAAATACTTTTTTCAGTTTTGTTAGATTACTGTTTTCGCAGTATAAAATCGTTGATTCACATTTTCTTTTTGCTTAGCTAGAATTACAATTGTGGGCCTATGTTCATATTGTACAAAAACTGACAAAAACGGACAGTCAAATATAAAAATAATCAAACCACTACTAATTTGGTTACCATTTTTTTAATGTTTAGATGATATTTCATTTAATGTTCTCATTACTTCATTTACAAAAGGCACTTGACTCAATAAGAAGATAGTCGTTTCTTTCCACTCCAAAGTATAATCACTTATGCTCTCATCACATTGACTGCATCTCTAAATGAAAAAAGTAATTTGTTTCTTTATTCAGTCTTTAATAACCGTTTTTTGTTACAAAGTTCATAGAGACAGTGATCAAATAAAATTCAATATATGTTGTATAGTAAATGATGGATTTAGCTTATAAATTTCAATGATTGTATTTGATCGTGTTAAGTCAATGCTCGAAATGATTGATGTGAGTTTATATAGTTTCATGTGTTTTTAGTACTTGGGCTTTAAGTTTTAATGTTTAACTTGGTGTATTATTGCCAGTAAAATGAACTGCAGGTAATTTTGAATGTAGATAGATTTATGGATTTATATATTCATAAAAATATCGATACAAATTAGGTTAATTGGATAAAACATAGTGATAGGCCGTATTAAATTGATAATCTTTTTCACGGAGATCAAACTGATTAGCTATTCCACAACACATGTTTGCCGACGTATAGATGCCATTATGCACTTGAATGTAAATGAACAGTCGTAGAAACAAGTGATTATATGATTTTTAAACAATGCAATAAAATATCTTCTTTGCGGGTTTCCAAAACTTTCTGCAAATTCAGATAAGGCTGAAACTATGGACTTCATACAATGTGATTATTGCAAACATGATAACATGGAAATCCCGTGCAGTGTTGGGAGGTAATGAAACTGACAAAAATTGCAATGAAAGCTTGTGCATGTAAGTGATGGACATTACCTAAAATGGCACCATTCTTTTCACAGACGTGACCCCGAATATTTGAACGATCCTCTTCACATATCTGGATTCGTTTTATTGTAAGTCATGAAGTCTGGTAAGCTTGCCGATCTCATTTTGCACATATTTTTTATTGTTCGTATCCGTCAGCAGATATTTTTTTCGGTAAAATATATTCCACTATCAATCCTACAAGGAAATCATGATGAAAGCAACCTGGTGAAAGCGCTGATCATGATTTGAAACTAATAACATTCGATTTTCTTCACGATCTTTCAGAAAATGTTCATACTTTTGATTACCTTAGTAATATTTTGCCAATATACATGTACAAGCGTCAATATGTATGTTCAAATTCTGTCGATCTGTTGACTATAAAATTCATCAAAATTCTATTGTACAGTAAATGTACACGTCGTTTTTTTGTACTCTTCATTTCGATATTTCAGATGTATTGCACTGATATTTGGACTCATTATAATTCTCAGTCCACATCTTCACTCTTCATCTACTCAGAACGCCATCTTCATGATTATAACAGTTAGTTGATCCTGACGTTTTTCATCTTGTACATTTCATTTAGTTTCAAATGTTTATATTAATTGTAGACACCTTATAAGTCTTTAGGGGTAATTTTTTGACAGCCTTCGAGGAATAAACAACACGGGAAAATATTGCTTCCGAATCAATCTCTATGGAAATCCTTGCTCTAAAATGGAGCTATCGAAGTGCATATTCGATAAAATCTATCATTCAGAGCTATCAGAGATTTTGTTCTGTTCTGTGTGTGTGAACGGAAAAATGAAGGTTCGTACGAAAAAAAAGCATATCTTATAGTTACATGTGCGATGGATCAGCTACTTCATTTGTGAGATAATTCATAAATTACGGGGTTGTAGAGTAACTTTTGAGGCACTTTAACTACACTTAAATAAAAATGCTGTTCACTATTTGTTGATTTTATCCATACAATTTTTCTCAATATTGAATGTTTTATTTGTCAATTATCAACACATTACTTATTTTCTTCCTCAGTCGATCTTGATGACAATCGCTATCGCATTGCTGAACCCACGTGGCTGTTGGTACGAACAAACCCTAGCTGCTATTGTGCCAACGTTGTTAACAATCTTCGCTATGCTCATGGGTTTGAGACTGAAAGATTCTTTACAAAAACGGACAATGCTGTTATTTACTTTGTGCTGTTTACTGGTGGCAGCTGGAATCGCATTTTCTGTTCTAGCTGTAAAGTTCAAATTTCCAAATAATGTAAGCTCACTAACGGCAATAAAATGAACATACCAAAAACGAGTACTGATTTTATATATTTCTTTAATATTTGAATATCGGTTATTCAGAAATAAACAGTTAACTTGATGTCATATAATAATTATCATTGTCAGCTAATGACTAAGCAGTATAAAATTTACACAACAATCCTAATGATCAAACGCTTACCTTATCTCGTATAAATGCATCCTACTCATTAACTCTTTTCATTCACAAACTATTGAGACACTATACGTAGGCTTTATGTGAATCATATTGCAGTATAATAAAACACTATAATATTTAAAGATTTTTCAAAAAGGACTTTTCTTCTATTGAACGAAAAGCGACCAGCTCTGCTGTAATCAACGTATTGCGCTGGAACACAGCTTCAAAACGTTCTGTTTTGAATTCACTTATACACATCTCCTTTGCAATTTTCAAAAAATGAATTACTGTCCAATAAAATTCAGTAGACTAAATCTTTGAATTTCAATTTCATGAACAAGAAGAGAACTTACATAATGTCGGCATCATCAACACGAAATTCATGAAACCAAAAATTATTTCATTACATCATCAACCTAAAAAATTCAAGAAATTTATCTGAAGATGAATAATTTCTTTTTTGTGGTTAGAAATCAATTATTCACGAAATTATTTGAAATGAAAATTTTTTTCTGTTTGTTTTCAGCTTATTTTTGCAATTTTGTCGTTCATTTGTTGGTGTTGTGCAATGTTTATTGTAAGTTTCGAAAGAACTATATAATTTCCATGTTTTCATCTATCTCTCTTTGATGCGCATTGTCACATTTCCTATCACGAACTGAAACTCTCATGCATATACTCCACCAGAATCGTTATTAATCGATTTGAAACCAGAATGTTCAAAGTCTAGATATCATATTACGCAATGTTTAATATGCGGTAACTACCGTTTAGATTGTGAGGTTTTATTTGTTTGTTTCGTCAACAGACTGTGTGTTTATGAGATGAATCTCATTGAATGATTGCTTGAAAATATTTGATTGTTGAGACTATCAAATCAATCATCCATTTTTCATTTGCTCTGTTTGGCTGATGAAAAAGAACTAGCAATTCTACACTACATCGAAAAATATCTTTGGTTTATTCACATTATTATTACATTCCACTTCTTAGTTTATCTACTGCTCTCAGTAGACGTTATCGATCTACAAATTGTGAAGCATTTGAGCTGTACATTACGAACATTTCGGTCACACATATACTTGACAAGGTATTTTAAAATAATTAAAAATAACACGTCGACTTTATAAAAGTTCAGATAGACGTAAGTTTGTAACTGTAAATGATGGAGATAGAAATAGACCAAATATGAAAAGAAAAAGAAAACGTAAGTAATTTTAAATTCACCCTGTGCTTGTATTATTCATCATATCAAATGCTGTGACAAGTGTACGTTTGAATGGACTGTTCGAAATGTATAGCGCAAATTATTCACAATTTTAAGTCGAATTAGGTTTTCTTACTGCAATTTCTTTATTTTCAAATGGAGTTACTGTTTTGACTTCTTATTTTTACCGTTTTTTTAAAATCACAGGTTATCACATTCACCAGCTATAACTTCAGGAAGTGCTTCCTAGTGTATTTGACTTTCTTAACTTCGATCGAATTTATGATACTCTTAATAATTTCACAATTTCACGTCAATTTTTGTTTCCATTGTTGTAATAAAAGCACAGATACAAACACAACGATTGAGAACCAAACGGTGATTGAGCCATAGTTGTTGATAAAATATTTGAGTCAAAGTGAATCAATTTTCTTTGTGTTTCAATAAAATTTTAAAAGTAATCGCAAAAGCGAATGTGGTTGCTTTCTGTCTATATTTCACTAAGATGTTTTTGTATATAAAGCTTTGCGAAAGAATGATGATAGCACTAATTGCGTATTAAATGGTAAATGTCTTTAGACTGGTAGGCTTATTTCATATCACTAGGTGTTAAAACAATCACAAACATGCTAGCAGCGAAACCAAATACGTGAACCTGTATGCCATTTATTTCGCTCCTAACTCATTGCATCTTGGCCTCATCCTGTACCTGATGTTAACGAGATCAGCCGAATCCTCTTCTCTGCATAGCTGGATAATTCACAGCTTCATAATTTGCAATAACAAAGTGATTTCAATATTTCCACCATGAAAGTCCATCAGCCATTTTAAACATAGTCACGATATCAATTAGCACTCATTTTTAATATTTTGCGTGTTCTTTATTTTAAGCCACATCGGTTATTCAGCCTGAGCGTGGCGTTGAAAACGCTGGGAAAGTTACGTATCTGTTTCTGCCACTTACATTTGCGTGAATACGGATGGCACATTGGATGCCTCGCATCTTCATAATCTCTATTCACTTGAACGTGGCGATTTTGATTTATGTAATTTAAAACAATTAGTCCCTTTTATAAATTTTGATAGAGCAGTGAGAAGACATAATTGATCTGAAAAATGTGATGTATTTGCGCTTTACATTTCGAACAATCTGGTCACACATATTTACTTGTCAAGGCATTTTATATAAAGATGAATAAAAGGTCAATCAAATAAAAGTTCAAATAGACATAGGGTGATAATTTTAAAAAAAGGAGAGAGAAAATTAACGTAATATGAAAAGAATAAGAATGGGTAGGAAAATTGTCACATTACCCTAGGCTTAAAGATAACCAAGGTAAATTCAAGTTATGACAAATTGTTTCTGCACACATAAAGGGGGTTTTAATTTTCTAATAGCCAAGGCCTCCATAAACCTCAAAATTCGTGCTTCAACATTTCTATACAATGTTTTGAAGGCTGTCTTGATGTCAATCTTATGCCCTGTCTCAATTATGTGTTTGGCGATCGATGAACATGCTTTTCTATTTCCAACGTTAAACATTTTGTAATAACCTTGAATTTACATTGGTAATCTTTAAGCCTAGGGTAATGTGACAATTTTCCTACCCATTCTTATTCTTTACATATTACGTTAATTTTCTCTCTCTTTTATTTACAATTATCACCCTATGTCTATTTGAACTTTTATTCAATGGACCAGATTTTTCGATATGTATAGCGCAAATACATCACATTTTTCAGATCAATTACGTCTTCTCACTGTTCTATCAAAATTTATGTAATTGTGAGCCACCTTATTCAATGTATGTATATCATATACTCATGTATTGCACTGGTTAAGCTGATCATTTAGACACATATTTCATTAGTGATGTACCAATATGTGCATCTTGTCAACCTTCTCCACTGTCTTTGTCCGATTATGGTATTAGGCATAGAGTTGAAACAGTGTGCAAATTATAATTTTCAGTATCGAGCTTCAAAGAATAATGCGTTTTATGAGGTTTTTACTCATTTTAAATCATCCATAAATCATAGTTAAACCACACCTAGATACTTGGAAGAACTAAGAATCCATCCTGGATTTTTACTAATCAGCTGTGAGCATCTCGCATAGTGTAAACCAGTCACATTAGGTTTTGTCCACGAATGCCTATATATTGAACTACTAGGACGGCATCCAACACTGTTAGCTTCCAGCTCTGATTGATCTAGGGATTTTGCAAGCCCTCACTCATTTGTCTATAGTAGTCACTGCCGAGACCCGACAGAGCTAAAACGCACAAATCACGTCATCTCACTAGAACAACCAGCATACACTCGCGAAGCTAGCCACTATTGTGTACATTTTACGATACTTTCAATTGAAGTTACGAAGATTAGGGTTTTTCCACATTTGAAATTAAGAATCAATCATTGTTAGACCACCATAAGAGACCTGGAAGCACTGGACAGCCAACTGGTCCGCGTATGAGACCCATCAACGGTGTGCATTCACTACTCCTACATCTCTCAGGATTGAAATCAATGAACTTCGGTCTTGTTCGCGAACGCTCAACGGTAATTTAACTAACACGTATTTCATTCTGAAAATATTATATGTGGATGCGTTATTCCGTACACCAATATAGACTGCAACCATTCAATCATTTACTTTTTGGTAATAAACCAAATGCTATCCATGGCGCATATACACACAAGACTGTTGATACCTTTTAATTAGACTATATTTGAAATTTGATTCCCATATTTTCAATCTATGAGCTCTCTTAAAGAAAAATAATTAGTATTTAACAAGTTGAATTTTGAATGAGGATCAACTGCTTGTCTTGAATTAGAAATATTATGATACATTTATTAGTTCGTCATCATCATTGTTCAAATAAACATTTATGGTATATAAATGACAATTTGTAAATACATGATCATAGTGTGTAATTGTGAATATAATGAATTATGTTTTTCCAGTGTTCAAAGAACATAAGTGCCAACTACATTGTGCTTCAAATTACTAATAATACCATCCAAAAAGTATGCACCTAAGAATCAGTAATGAGGAATCTTGTTCTGCTGCGTAAATGAGAGCAGTATAAGAAAAATGCAAGATGTATTCATTTGTTTACTATTTTCTTCAGTTACAAAATACAAGTTGAAATATGTTTTCGTCGTGTTAAGAAAAGCTGAATAAAGATTTCAGAATTTGTGAGATTGAGAGAAATAGCACGGCAATTTCAGTTAAATAAATAGATGGTAAACCTACATATGAGGAAGCTGGATTCCGTAAAATTTGATAATCTTGAACAACAGTACAGATCCATGAGAATTATTCAATTGAACTTAACTGTATTGATTACAGCAAAGCGTTTGACAGTGTGATCAAGATAGTGCTTTGGATGTTTCTTCGACAATATGTTCTAAATGTTTCAAATCACTCGGGTATCTTATGATTCATGGCATTGCAAGATCTTGCTTGCAGGGAACCTTTATAACTAACTTGTTAAGTTGAACTAAATATATCGTCACTCTAAGTCCATTGGACTACATAGAAAGAATAATGCTGTTGATTTTTCACCCAATTGGGATTATTAATAAGGGATATTTTTGAAATTGTTGAACGCTTAGCTAGTGAATTTATGTTATTCGATGTTTTGATGATGATGTGATCAAAATAGTAATAAATAGGAGTTCTCGAAATCCAAAGTAATAATTTTTCATTACGTATCAGCATTTGATCAATTGAACGAATGTAATATTTCAGGTTTTACTGCAGTGTTTTCTGGCGAGCGAATGAGCGACTGAAGCAAATCATACGAAGCGATGTGGAGAAGCAGCGAATAAAACGACTGGAGCGACGTGAATTGGAAAAGGCTAATGAGTCAAGTCCCAGTATTACAATGCGAACGAATGGGCGTAAGTGGTAAACGAACAGTTGACGCACGTTGGAGAAGGCTTATGAGCCAATTCAAAGAAATGGAGCATGACTAAGAATATATACTAAGATAAAATAAGACAGATATGTGACAAGCGGAACAGGCATGCACGCACATGAATAAAAGCCACAAATGATTGACAAGGTTAAATGACAAGTGGAATTCGTCACGTGAGCTCGTTCAAACCAGACAATAATGTGAACAAATTGTTTCAATACAAATGGCTTGTTTAAAATTATTAATCGAAAGGGCTCACCATGTGAGATTTACGTGAATTGGAATAAATGTGAAGGCAGTAAAACCCTATCCTTTTTTTCGTGAACGAGAGTTAACCGCTTCCTTGTAAGCCGCTCTGAGACTCATGATATATTTGTTGAAAAATGATGTGTGATGTGATGTAACAATATAAATGGATGATAATTAATCTCCGGATTTTATCTTTAAATAACGCAACTTAATAGACAAATTTTAAACGTGGAATAAACGAAGAAGCAAGAAATTAAGTCACGCTTTAACAAGATCATAGAAATCAGCGTTATCTTATATACATTTTTATAACTTAATAACACAACGACCAATAAATTCATATTTTGGCCTCATGTCGCGTCGCTGTTAATCAAATAATTTCAAATGTACGGTTAAGCGGATCAATTGATTTATAGAGTCTGTACTGGTATTTCAAAAGAATCATATGTTAGGATGCTCTTGACAATTCAACATTTTTTATTGAATATATTCATAATCATGATACGTAACAAATTCTGTTTTAAAATGGAAGCGGTGAAGAAAAACAATTCGCTGTAAATTCGCATCGACCTCTCAGGCAAGCGTAAGTCTGAGATTAGAGTCTTTACAAACACTATAACTGGTAAGCTTGCTCACTTGAAATGTGATCAATAATGTAGTGAAACGTTATCTTTTAAGAGATTGAAATTTATTCTTGCTCAGCCATACTTCACGCCAATAGGAGTTCGTTGTTCGTCCTTTACCAATATTAGGTGAAATAATGTGAGCCGTTTACCATTAATTTAAAACTATTAAGATAACACAGATCGAAAATAAGTTTGAATAACGGTTGAACATTGATTGCCATAAGGTACTAATAATCTAAAATTATCATTCATCAGTGGTAAAACATTAGGTTAACAATCATGTTTCAGCATGTCGCTGGGGAGTGCTTTCACTCTTATCCGAAATCATGGATGAACGTGCTATATATGTGCTACTTTAAAAGAGAACAGCTAAAACGATGTTACTGTTTGATATTTTTTATTGATGTAAATATTCATCGATGTTAAATTCTGAGAAATCGCTTCTACATATTTGTGATGAACTAATGGTTGAAGGGTATATTTTTGTGACTGTCTGATACACCTTTGCAATAAGGTCAATTAGCTGCGGAATCTAAATTTTGAATTTAACCTGTTAGGAAACATGTCATTAGTAAGCATACTGAAGTATCTCTTTGTCTCCGTTAAACTCTTAGTGACATTGAGACAGGTGTGAAATTAAAAGGTTCATCAATTTCGT